CATCCGTGGCTGCTCTGATCCTTCCCCCGATTGGTCTTACCCAAGATGGCAGCTCCTGGAGCAGCTGAGCGTCTTGAATTAGAAAGCAATGGATTTCTTGCTTTTGCTACTAATTCCCTTAGCTGTAAGCCTTCCAACCTTCTAAATATTCCTTTATATGTGATTCAGAATTCTGGGACCATCCCCTGAGCCTGCTTGGTCCTGTATTCTGTGTTGTTTCTGACGGAGCTCCTCACTGCACTTCCACCCGATCCGCCATCTTATATGTTACCTGGTATTTTTTTAAAGGCCTGATTTATGTCGTTTACTGGTATGGCACTATAGGGTAAGCAATGGACTGCTAACTGCGAGGTCGATGGTTCAAACCCATGAACCACTCCTTGAAAACTATTACAGGGTCGCTATGAGTCAACTGACTCCACAGTACTTAACAACAACAATATGTAGTTTCTGTTAGGATACATTTTTGTATCGTAAAGACCTTTTTTGTATTGAAATGAAATAATGTGTTAAAAGGAGCACTTCTCAAAAATAATCTATTAGGTTATGAAATTTTGGGCTATCGAGCAGTATTTTCAGAGAAATAGATACCCATTCTAATTATTCTTCTCTTTTCCAATAATGTTTACCCTACGTAACTTTGTAAGAGATAGAAAGGACAGATATTTTACAAAGCTGAGAGTAGTTAGGGCTTTGGATCCTGCTGCCCTTGCTGCAAACCAGAAAGGTTCATGTTGTATTAAATACTAATTTTAAGAACAAATTATGATGCCTTAAAGTGTTTGAAAACAATTCAAAGTAACAGCCTATGTTCTTAAAGCATAGCCATTTTGGTGAATTAAGACAGAAATATATGAAAACGTAGATAACAGTACAACACTGTATGTCAAGTCCTAAATGATTCATAGTTGGAATTCAGTAGATGCTGGTGGTTCTGCAGGACAAGTGCTGGACTGCTAACCACAGGTCAGCAGCTAAACCCATCAACAGCTCCATGGGAGAAAGAAGAGGCTTCTGTTCCCTTAAAGACTTACAGCCTAGGAAACCCCATTCAGGGTTACTGTGAGTCAGAATTGATTCGATGGCAGTGGATTTGGTTTTGGGCTTTGGAGCACAAGAAACCATTGGTCACTATGGGGTTGGGGCAGAGCTCCTCACATGTTCAGCTTCAGCTGAGCCTCAAAAGGTTGAGTGTTTTGAAAGAAGGAAAGCACTGTGAGGTGATTTATTGTTCTTCTTCAGCCATTTCTGACCCATCCTGTTTTTTGTTAAGGAATGAAAATGACCTGCTTTTATCTACTCTCTGCAGCCTGAAGAATTGAGAGAAATCATTGAGAAGACTAGAGAGATGGAGCAGAACAATGGCCACTACTTTGACACAGCAATTGTGAATTCAGATCTTGATAAAGCCTATCAGGAGCTGCTTAGGTTAATAAACAAACTTGATACTGAACCTCAGTGGGTGCCATCCACTTGGCTGAGGTGAAGGAAGTATCCATTGTATGGCAGTCCATTTTATCTATATAAAAATCTTTTCTTTTTTCACCAACCTAAATATTTCCTGGCTAGTCATATTTCCATGAAAAATGTTGTGTTTGTGTTCATTGTCAGTCCATGTCTCACATAGTTGTAAATATTCATGTTATTTAAACATTTAAATGCTTCATGGGAACTTTTCATAGGACTGTGCTTCTGTGCACTGGACAAGGCAGTATTTGCTTAGGAAATGGATTTAGTCATCAGAAATACTTTCTAAGGAAAAAACAAAATGGTGCACTTTGGTGTGTAACTACTCTGTTAGGCTAGAATTCACCTTGATTGTCTTTTAATTTTAAACAGTATTCCGTTAGATGCACTCGCTTTTTTAGCTTAAATTTTGTAGATCAGACTTCTGCACATTCAGCAGACTGTGATCTGGTGAAAGCTATATTCAACATAAGTTGATCTTTTATAAGCTGTCATGATTTTTTAACTCTCTTTCTTAAAATTATCAACTAATTTGATAACTTCTCCAATCTGCATGCTACAACAGAATGTATAAGTTAACATTTTATGAATGGTGAACATTCTATAAACTGTTGCCTGTTCTTCCCCATGATGTAGGTTTTTACGTGCATGGGAGGGTATAGTACCTTTGACAGTTTTTGCATCCTTGTATATAAGCACAGTGTGACCCTGTGGCTGTGTTATATATAGGTAAAACTGGAATTGTTGATGAACATAGCTGCTGTACTGTATAGTAATATCTAATAGATTGACAAATGATCACTGATTACACTTGTTCAGCATTGGAGTAAAATTATATATGGTCAAGGAAAATATTGCTCAGAAAGAAAAGTCGACCTGAAAGTCATTTGAACACTTTAGGAGTACACTGAGCAAAATTCATGTCCAAACAGGTTTTTATCCTAAGAAGTTCTGTCTCTTAGAACCTGAATGCCACAACTGGCTAAATCATAAAAGAAATGTTTAAGCTAATGGGATTTTGTACTTTCTAGCTGTAACTTTAAAATGCAATTTGTATAATTGGCATGGGAATTTTGAGATGTCTTATTTTGAGATGTCTTATTTTAAAGCCTTAGAGACAGTGTGTGACCCAAAACCTCAAATGTGAATGTCATGATTTTGTTTTCATGGAGACTTTAGCTACAGCATTTCCTGTTTTCAAAGCTAAACACTGGAAGAATACTGACTTGTCATTTATTTTAACATAATTGTTTTAATGAGTAGTTTTGCTCTGTATTGTCTATAAATTTTATTTTTCTCTTCTGCATAATTTTATTTGAACAAATGTAAACAGTTTATATATGTTGCCTTTCTTGTTCGAATTTACATGGCCTCTATGTTCACTGAGAAATGTGTCTTATGTGGAAATATATTCAAGATAATGTTTTTAAGGAAGAAAATAACATTCCTGAATTGAAGGAAGGAATGTCTTATGTATTGTCTCTTCAAATCTTAAACACTCCTCCTTGTAACAGCAAAATGCAAAGGTCACATTGATTTTTCAGCATTGAAAACCAAGGAATATATTTAGCACTTAATATTTTCCGGTTTTACTTTCTCCTCAGAAATGAAGGGCACTCTATGGTAGACCATGGAGTTTTGTGATCCGCTTATCATAACTGATAACTAATTGTAACCATATGGCGCTGTAGTATAAACATTGGACTGAAAGGTTGATTTGAATCACAACGTCAGTGGTTCAAACCCACCGGTCACTCCTTGGAAGCCCTATGCAGGGTCACCATGAGTCAGAACCAACTTAAGGGCACTAACGGCAGTTGTAACCTTAAGGTCTAAAATGCTGACCATCTGTGTTGAGTTAGAATGAGGTTTTCAGTCGTGTCACTGAGTCCCTGAGTTACCCAGCAGGCCACAGCTGGGCTTTCACAAGCAGATCTTGCACAAAAGCATACGCCATACAATGGTTTACTTTTAGGAAGTCATCAAGGTGGCAAGAGCCATTTTGGGGGTCACCGATGTCCTATCATTCTTTTCCTTGTCAGCAGTGGTAGAGAGAAAGGTTTATGCCCACAACTTTTCCCAATCCTAGTGAAATGGATGTGCTGATACTCAAACAATCCCTAAACAAGTGAAAAGTGAGTTGTTGCCGATGTCCTTGAATGGGAGAAAAGCCTTGCTTTGCACCTTGTGTAACCCAATTCTGTTCTGACACACAAGGTCGCCATGCTTCAGAATCCACTGAACTCCAACTGGTTTTGGTTTCTGCATTGTTTTGGGTTTTGTTGAATATGACTAGTTGTTTTAGCCATTATGGACAGATTCCATTTCCTGTCCTTCTAAGGTTCTGATTTAAGACCCCAGCTTGGGGAAGGTAATCATCTTAACCACTTAATATGGAAATGAAATGAACATGGGTAATCCAAATAAATAACTTCCTTTCTAAAATTTCCTAAGTTAGAACAAACAGAAAGGGGAATAGTATTTAGACTAATCCAGATTTGCTTTCTATGAAAATCTACTATCTGGATATTTTTCCTTTCCTCTTGGTTTAAGGAATAATTATTGATAATCATTTGAATGTGATTTTGTGAATGTGTTTGGAAAACATAAACCAGGGATTTAGCCTTAATAAAGGTAACCTTTTGGAGACCTGTTGTTATTCCTTATCCTGTGTGTTCTTATCCTGTATCTGCACTCTTATTTTGAGATGTCATACTACACACTGTATTGTAAAAATAAAAAGTAAAACTATATTTCAAATAACAATGCCAAGGAGTAACTTGATCTTGCTGTGCTCATACCCTGCCATTTATAGCTTACACACACCTACCATCCTCTTCAAGTAATTGCATCCCTGCCTGGCCCCTCCAAAGACCATTAGAACCTCTGAGTAGAACACAAAATACTGTAAGGACCAAACTGATTTTACCTGATTTTGCCTACCTAGAAACTGCTTGACTAAACTCTAGTCAGGCTCAGGAAAGCATTTTAAATAGACAAGGCCTCAGTTATTAGTTCCCTCCAGAGGCAAGGTCAATCTCCATTCTGTACATTAGCCTGAACACGTACTCTAGCTCCAAGAATATGATATATGTATAAATAGCCAGGCAGCTCAAGGCCAGTGGCCAGATGTTTTCCTTTACCCTAGCCTAAGAACAAAGACCACCAGTCCTGACCAATTAAACTGTAACATCTCATAGTTTGCCAATTGTTACCCAATCCAAAGATTGTAAAGCTGAGAAACCTGAGCTATTTGAAAATTCTATAAAAACCCTGCAGACAATGAATTCGGGGCTCTTTCTCTATTCCGAAATGTCGGATAAGGTTAGAGACCTGGCTCGAGTTTGATTAAACAACCCTTATGTATTTGCATCGGTACACGGCTCCTGGGTGGTCTTTGGGGACCCTGAATTCTGGGCATAACAATACCTATAGAATTGTTGTTCAGTAATTTAAGGCTGCAATGTGGGAGTGTCCCTTGTTTACAAAGATATAAACCCTGTTTCCATAATTGTTTTGTTTCCTTTTTTAAAACTGTGTAAGGACGGACAACCTAAAGCCACGAACATGGGAGTTTTCTAGGAAAGAGGATGTGATAGGCAAATTTAGCTTTTATATGCAACAGGGATTTGAGGACACAGGATAATATGTTGCTCATGTATGAGGGGGCTTCAAAAAGTTCCTGGAGAAATGAAACAAAAGCATATGAAAAATTTCCATGAACTTTTTTGAAGTCTCCTTATACAAAATTTTATTTCTCCATTCTTTCTCATCTTTAGTCCACTATACCAGTCTGTAGCTCTCAAAGGAGGCAAATCATATACCAACAAAAGCTTCCATATACAAACACAACTAAGTATCCTGATCCAGCTTTCCACCCCTATTAACTGCTGTGTCCCTGCCCCTATTACCAGCTCTCCTCCACTGTTTTCTCCTAATTTCTTGACACTATGCTAAATCATAAAACCATCTGCATATGTATAGGCATCTTAACCAAGGCAGATAAATACTAGAGCTTTTAAAAATCTCAGGAAAAATGTAGGGTACTTCCTGGCTCAGTGTTTTAAATACTGAGAACATGATGGGTGTAATATACACTGATCTGTATATGTAAAGACTGCTGAACTGTCAATGTATGCAGGAAAAAAAGGCATTGTATTCAATGAAAACCAGGATATAATCTGGTTCCCTACTGTTAACATCAAATTACTGTGCTTCTAGAGAGGGAGTGCTTAGTGCTTAAAAACCAAGGCTCTGAAATCAAGATGTATTTGGCTTCAATTCCTGGTTGATTATTTGACAGGAAAAAATGGAAATTAGTTTTGAGGAAGCTGAAATTCTGACATCTTGCATTAAATGTTTAGCAGTTCAATATTGGAGTCTTGGTGTGGAGCTGTAGGATAAACACTGGACTGTGAACCATAAGGTTGGTTCAAATCCGCCAGCAGCTCCTTGGAAACTATACAGTGTCACTAAGCATTGGAACCAACTGGACAGCACATAACAAGTTCAATATTACCTATTTTAAAAAGACTTAAGTCAGTTATTGCTTTCCTAATAACTGCAAATTTTACATTCATTTTATTCTTTGAGCTAAACAGCATCTTCTAAAAATCAACTTCCTGTGACAGGTCCTGTAGCTTACTTTAAATAACCAATTTTAAATACAGAAGAGACAGAACGGATAGGAATTGAAATACTAAGTGGCATAATACATGATATGTAACAATTTAAAACAGCACCTGGTACTTAAAACTGTTTAATTTGATAAAATCATTTTACAGAAGGAATTAAACTGACTCATCTGTCAGTCTGTTGGATTGTGGTGGCTTACGTGTTACTGTAATACTGGAAGCTATGCCACTAATATCTTAAATAGCAGTTAGGTCAATGTGGTGGGCAGGTATCAGCAAAGCTTCCAGACTAAGCCAGACAAGGAAAGATGGACTACTTATGAACATTTAGCCACTAAAAATACTATGAATACCAGTGGAATACTGTCAGCACCAGAATATTGCAACATGACGAACACCAGAATACTGTCAGATACAGTGCCAGAAGAGGAGCCCCTCAGGTTGGAAGGCATTCAAAATGTGACTGGGGAAGAGCTGCCTTCTCAGAGTAGAGTTGACGGTGATGATGCAAATAAAGTCAAGTCTTGGGGACCTTCACTTGCTGACGGGGCACAACTCAAAAAGAGTAGTAGTAACACCTGTAAACATTAATAATCAGAATATTGAATGTATGAAGTACGAATTTAGGAAAATTTGCAAGTCAAATGAAATGGAACACATAGAAGTCAATATCATAAGCACATAAGTGAGCTGAAATGGGTTGGTATTGGCCATTTTGAATCTTGACAATCACATGGCTTACTATGCCAGGAATGACAAATTGAAAAGTAATGGCATTGCACTGATCATCAAAAAGAACATTTCAAGATATAGCATGAAGTACAATGTTGTCAGTGATTGGATAATAACCAAGGCACAAGAAGTCCTGATGTGGTACTGCAGGTTAATGCACTGGACTGCCAGGTTGATTTGAACCACAAGGTCGGCAGTTCAAGCTCACCAGCCACTCCACAGAAACCCTATACAGGATCTCTATGAGTCAGAATCAACTTGACAGCACTTAACAAGACCACTTAATAACAATATAAAGATTTACACACCAACCACTAAAGCCAGTGATGTTGAAATAGAAGCATTCTACCAACTTCTCCAGTATGAAATTAACCAAACATGCAATCAAGATGGATGGTGATTAGAATGGAAAGGTTGGAAACAGAATCAGTAGTTGGAAAATACAGCATAGGTGATAGAAATGATGCTGGAGATCGCATGATAGAAATTTGAAAAATCAGTGACTTCCATCATTACAATTAACTTTTTTTTAAACAACGTAAGAGAATTATACACATGGATCTCACCTCACCAGACAGAATACACAAACATCAAATTGACAACATCTGTGGGAAGAGATGGTGGAAAAGCTCCCTATCATCAGCCAAAACAAGTTCAGGCTGAAGCCGAAAAAAACTAAAACAAGTCCATGAGAATCAAAATTTGACCATGAACATATCCCACCTGAACTTAAGAGTTCATCTGAAGAACAGATTTGATACATTTGACACTAATGACCAAAGTCCAGAAGATTGAGATGGCATCAAGAACATCAGGAAAAAAGCAAAAGATTAAGTAAGGATAAGACCAAATGGATGTCAGAATAGACTCTGAAACTTGCTCTCCAATGTAAAAGTTACTAAAGCAAATGGAAGAAAACAAGGAAGTAAAAGAACTGAACCAGAAAATTTCAAAGGGTAGTGAGAAGACAAAAGTCAAGTATTGTAGTGAAATGTATGAAGACCTGGGGTTAGAAAACTGTAAGGAAAGAACTTGCACAGCATTCCTCAAGCTGAAAGAACTGAAGACAAAAAGATCAAGCCTTGGTGTGGCGCCGTGGGATAATACACTGGGTCACAAGGTCTGTTTGTACCACAAGGGCAGCAGTTCAAACTCACCAGCTCCTTGGGAACCTTAAACAGGGTCGTTATGAGTCAGAACTGACTCGACAGCACTTAACAATGGTCAAAATAGTGAATGATGCAGTAATCATCAAAAGAAGATGGAATAGTCACTGTACCAAAAATAGATGGTTGATGATCAACCATTTCAAGAGTCAATGATACTGAAGGAATAAGTCCTAGGTGCACTCTAGGCATTGGCAAAGAACAAGGCTCCGGGAATTGATGGAATATAAATTGAAATCTTTCAACACAGTGTGGCAGCACTGGAGGCACTCAGTCATCTGTGCCAAGAAATTTGGAAGACAGCTACCTGGCCAAATGATTGGAAGAAATCCGTATTTGTTCCCATTCCAAAGAGATGACCCAATGAAATGTGCAAATCATTTGGCAATGTCACTAATATCACATGCAAGTAAAATTTTCTTAAATTAAAAAACCACTGTTAACAGTATGAGCTGCCAAATGATTGGAAGAAATCCGTATTTGTTCCCATTCCAAAGAGAGATGACCCAATGAAATGTGCAAATAATTTGGCAATGACACTAATATCACATGCAAGTAAATTTTTCTTAAAAGATAATTTAAAAACCACTGTAACAGTATGAGCTGCCAGAGGTTCCAGCCGAATTCAGACAAGGATGTGGAACAAGGGACGTGATTGCTGGCGTCAGATGGATCTTGGCTGAAGCAGAGAAAGATGTTTACTTTTACTTTATTGATTCAACTGTGTGGATTATAACAAGCAGTGGACAACATTAGAAGAATGAGTATTCCAGCACACTTAATTGTGCTCATGAGGAACCTGTACATAGACCAAAACATAGTTGTTGACCAGAACAAGGTTCCATTAAATGGTTTAAAATTTGGAAAGGTGTCAGGGTTGCATTCTTTCACCATACTTATTTAGTCTGTACACTGAGCAAATACTGAAATGCTGGATTATGTGAAGAATACGGCATCGAGATTAGAGGAAGTCTCATTAACAACCTGTGATAAGCAGATGATACAATCTTGCTTGCTGAAAGTGAACTTAAAATACTTATTAAGATCAAAACCAGTCTTCAGTATGGGTTGCACCTCAATGTAAAGAAAACAAAAATCCTCACAAGTGGACCAATAAATGTAGAAAAGATTGAAGCTGTCAAAGACTTCATTTTGCTTGGATCAACTATCAACAGTCATGGAAGCAGCAGTCAAGAAATGAAACACTATATTGCATTAGGCAAATCTGCTACACAAGACCTCTTTGAAGCGTTCTATAGCAAAAATGTCAGTTTGAAGACTACGGGCACCTGACTCAAGCCATGGTATTTTCAAAAGCTTTTGTATGTACATGAAAGTTGGGCAATGAATAAAGATGACCATAGAATTGATGAATTTGCGTTATGGTTGGAGAATAATATCTTAAGTACTATAGACTGCCAGATGAACAAAGAAATTTGTGTTGGAAGAAATACAAGAATGCTCCTCAGGAGCAGCTGGTGGTTTTGAATCGCTGACCTTGTGGTTCAAACCGATCTTGTGGTTTGAACCACGAGGTCGGCGATTCAAATCCACCAGCTGCTCCTGAGCCACATCAGGACTCCCTGTAAACCAGGAAGTGAACTCACTCCATAGCTTAACTTCCAGCAAATATTAGACAAGCCTGTAAGGTGAACAGTTGCACTAGGGAGGTACCCATTCCTTAGAACAATCAACCAAAAGTATCCAGTGAGACAGCTCCAAAGTCTGGAAGGGATAGAAAGGTGAATGGATCAATGTCATAAAACAAAGTATGATTTATTGAATGGGAAACCATTATGTTCTGTAAACTTTCACCCAAATTACAGTAAGAAGTTTTGGGGGAAAAAATGCTCCTCAGAAGCCAGGATGGTGAGACTTTGTTTCTCATACTTTGGACATACATTATCAGCAGGGACTTGACCCTAGAGAGGGCCATCACGTGAGGTAAAGTTCCGGAGCAAAAGAGGAAGACCCCCAATGAGATGGGATTGGCACAATGGCAGTAGCAAAAACAACAGACTCAAGCTTAACAATGACTGTGAGGCTGGGACACGACTGAGTAGTGTTCTGTTCTGTTGTGCATAGAGTCACTATGGGTTGGAATCTATTCAACAGTACCTAACAACAAAAAATTACTTAGTATTTTCAAAAACTGATGCTTATATATCAATTCGTTCAATTGTGTATCAAATTAATTCAAATAATGTTATTTTAAAGTGTATTTGACTATGTCATTAACTCTGTCAAAGCCTAGTGTTTGCCAAAATGATGGTGTGATCATGGGTGGTTCACACCAAATTGAACAGCACAGAGAACAAGTCCACATGCTGGGTCCTTACCTTCATAAGTGAGAAATGGCAAGTTGTTACTGCTTATAAAACAGTGAGCTTATTCAAAATGGGAATGAGAATTTTATCTATTCTCATACAGAAACCCTCCTAGTTTACTGGTAATCTTACTTGGCAGTATCCCAAAACACAATGCTGTCAGCCCATTACTAAAACTGTTATCTGAAGGAAAATGAGGGAAGCTACCCATGACATGTGTGCAGGGGAAACTTTGTGGATGACACCACCACGTGCCAATCTGAGCATAAGAACAAGACTGTTATCTTAGCAATAGTAATAAAGAAACACCTTGTTTTTGAATCACTTTACTTTGCTTCGACCATAGTCACATTTAAATTGACAGAACTCCCACGATAGACAGGACAGGCCTGTCATGCAAGGAAAGAAAAGTGAAGGTATTCATAAAACTTGGAGAGAAGTGCCACGGCCACACAAAGACAGCCGCAGCACTATCAGACAAGAGTGCCTAGGTGCATGGTGGCAGGAACAAGGGGTGCACAGTGGTACACGGCCTGAGACCACTGATGTTTCTTCTCTGGTGGCATTTCCTAATAAGCTTGGTATGCAAATCACTTGTAACAGATGGAAATGGAGTGTTGGTAACTTCCATGTGGCAAATCCTAAATTCTATACATCTCTGATATCATGGCTGAACTGTGAGGTTGCAGAAGTAATCCCTAAACTTCCCAACCTGGGAAATTTTAACACCAGTGAGATTCTTAGGCCCAAAATAAATAAATAGGCACACATACCAACCCTACACACTGAATTGAATTGGAGCCAGAGTTAGGATTTCTGAACAGACAGATAAGGGAGAGGCTATTCAAACAGAAGGTCCTCATCCTTCTCCTCAGCCAGAAGATTTGCAGGTTCTATCACTTCTCCAGTTGCTCTGCGCTGCTCCAAGTCCTTCTCAGATTTTTCCTTGAGAATCTTTTTCTTCTCCTGTATTTTCTTTAACCTGTAAAGGTAAGGGGGGAGATTATCTGACTACTGTGTGCCATAGTGTTTCTTTTAGTACTAAGTAGACTTAAAGTACTAAGCCTAATTATCTAACAAAGACAATAAATACCCACAAACTAGAACAAAATTTCGCTTCTATCAATAATTTAAACTTCATTATTAATAACCCATATTAAAAAATACTTCCAATGTTTTAAGTGAAACTTCATGTTCCAAGTTAAACAACTGATTCTCTAGTGGAACTAATTTGAGCATTCAAACAGTTATTAAAATGTTGGCTCATGCAACACGAATAATCTCTATCACAAATTTGCAAGTCATTAAGGGACAAAAGCTAAATGCCTTTAATAAGATGAATCTGAGCAGTTGCTACTCAAGGCCCACAACTTCCCTATCTTCCTGAATACACCTGCCTTCACCTCTTTCTCACCTCTCTAAACCACAGATCCCTGATCCACCTATTTAGTATTTATTTGCCTGTACTGGCTCAGAGTCAGCAGTTCAAACCCACCAGCTTCTTGGAAACCCTCTACAGGGTTACAATGAGTTGGAACCGATAACAACAACTGGCTGTAAGTGTCACAAACTATGTGTATATTTGCATAATTCCTCCCCAAGTACTATGCGAACTAATAGTAGTAGTTGTTATATGCCATGGAGTTGGTTCCGACTCATAGTGACCCTGTACAGGGTTTCCAAGGCTGTAAATCTTTACGGGAGCAGAAAACCTCATCTTTCTCCTGCGGAACAGCTGGTAGTTTCAAACTGCTGACCTTATGGTTTGCAGGCCGATTCGTAACCACTACGCTATCAGAGTTCAAGTATACTTTCTCCTAGAACATATTAACAAGCAACACATATTACTGACTGACTGATTCATTAGTTTACCCTATTTATATGTAGGACATCTAATCTGAATCACTGTTTCTTTTTAAAGACTAGTCAAGCCTGTTGAAAGCTTTTGGGAATGCCATGTTTTAAGTATGTTCATGAACTTGACATAGATTTGTCTCCATAATTTTTGGTAATATTACTCCATGCTTCTGATTTATGAGAATAAATGTAAGTTGAGTTCCAAAGAGCATAAGTCCACTAGACACTTAGCAAAAAGGTGTGGAAAACTAAAGTATTCAACTGCCAATCCCAACAAACCTATAGAACTCTTCTCGCTCTCTCTCATCCAGCTCTGTGATAATGTAAGAAAGGGTTCGTTCAATCCGGGGAATGATGACTAAAATTGAAGGGAAAAAAAACAACACACATACACGTTAGACTTCAAATCTCCATTTTTCAAATTATAGCGCTTATTTTTTTATTACATTTCCCCCCCTAATTGTAAAGTTATTATTACACCATCCAGTAGATTCTTACAGTGGTCCTGCATAGGGTTTCCAAGGAGTGGCTGGTGGGACTGAACCACCAAGTTTGCAGTTAGCAGTCCAGTGCCACACCAGGACTCCAATAACAAAATTAATGCATACTGGTATAGAAAAATTTTTTTGACAGAGATTCAAGCCGGATTCAAAAGAGGTCATGGAACAAGGGATATCACTGCTGATGTGTGATGGATCTTGGCTGAAAGTAGAGAATATCAGAAAGATGTTTACCTGTGCTTTATTGACTACACAAAGGCTTTCGATTGTGTGGATCATGACAAGCTATGGACAATATTGTGAAGTATGAGTATTCCTGAACACTAATTGTGCTCATGAGGAATCTGTACATGGACCAAGAGGCAGTTGTTTGAATAGAACATGGGAACATTGACTAAGTAGACTTAAAGTACTAAGCCTAGTTATCTAACAAAGACAATAAATACCCACAAACTAGAATAAAATTTTGCTTCTATCAATAATTTAAACTTCAATATTAATAACCCATATTTAAAATAAAGAAAGGTGAGTTACAGGGTTGTATTCTTTCACCTTACTTATTCAACCTGTATGCTGAGCAAATAATCCAAGAAGCTGGGTTCTATGAAGAAAAACTTGGTATCAGGATTGGAGGAAGACGCATTAACAACCTGTGATATGCAGATGATACAACCTTGCTTGTTGAAAGTGAAGAGGACTTAAAATACTTACTGATGAAGATCAAAGAGCAC